AAGGAGAGAGAGAGAGAGGAAGGAATGGGAAATATTCCGCCAATTATTGACCAGGATGCATGGAGCTGAAGTGACGCCCCCTTGCAGATGATCGTACAAATCGTGTGGCGCAACGAATTGAGAGTGTAAAGAATGTTTCTCCCGAAGAAAACACCGGGAAGAAGCATGCTGGGAGGGAAGAGTAATCATGGACAATGATTATCAATTCTTGAATAAGGCGAGTTTTTCTCCGTAACACCGACGCCAATGAATCATCACGCGACGGAATTAACCTAGCGGCGCGGAGATAAGTCAAGAGTTTGTTCATTACTAGTACTACGACTAGTATGACAACGACTAAGAGCTGCACAGTCAGTGACCATGGAAGCCTGTCGAAGTGCCCGTCACCAATCCCAAGGACTCCCGACACCGGGCCGCATTTCTTCCCTTCCAACTTGTGTCCCCATCACTCCATCATCCCAGGCAAATCATTGCGCTTCTGGTCTTTTACCCTGTTCCCCCTCCCCACACTAATCGGCCGGAGGAATCTCACATAAATCTGTCTGGTTGTCCATGGCTTCCCCGGCATCCAACCATGGTCTAGCGAAGTCGACATGTACTGATACTCCTGCCTCTCATCCCACGGCGCTGTCTGCTCCGGTGTCCTCCACATTATCATCGTCCTCCGCCCCGCTGTCCGATCCCGATCGCCCGTCTTCCTCAACGTCTACCATCACAGCCGGAACCTCTCTCCTTCGCGATTATGCATGCCATATAGACCCGTCGCAGACACCGAACGACGTTCATGCGAGCGATCACCACCCGAGAGCCCATACCAGTGCTCCGCAGAAGGCTGACCCCCGGGACGACGCCGCGGTCTTATCGCTACCCTCTTCGCCCTTCCTTCCTCTCCGCTCCGCTGCTTCGTTGAAGGCCCACAACCGGAACGCCCTCTCCATTGACTCAATCCCTCGACAGACGATCATGAAAGCCCTTGCATCCCGCCCGTCCGTATCCAACCCTAATAATCCCAACGTGCCGCTGGCGGCGTCCCTCGGGCTTCTCACCAATAGCGCTTCCTCGAGTCCTCCGGATGAGAAGGAGCGTCGCTCCAGCAATCCATCCTCACAGAAGCTCTCCGCCGCGCTATCCAACCTGCAGCTGGGCCCCTATCTGGATCGCTTGCCCCCGACCGCGCGGTTGGCGATGCAATCGCCCTGCTTCTTCCATCAACGGTTTGACGATGCCGTGAATATCCAAAAGGTTCTCGAGGAAATCACGGACGACGAATGGCTGTCACACTCTCGCTTGGTTCAGACGGCGACTGGCGTTCGGGAGGTGTCGAAGCAGCTGCAGCGTCGGCCGATTAAACGTGCCGTACGGAATGTCATGATAGTCACCAAGGCGCGTGATAATAGCCTGGTACACTTAACACGGGAATTGGCAGAATGGCTTCTCTCGACTCCCCGGTATGGAAGTGAGCTCGGGGTCAATGTATATGTGGACGCCAAATTACGGAATTCCAAGCGTTTTGATGCGCCGGGGCTTCTGCAGATGGAACCTCGATTCGAAAAGATGCTGCATTACTGGACTCCAGATCTGTGCTGGGAATCTCCGGAGAAGTTCGATCTTGTGCTGACCTTGGGTGGAGACGGGACGGTACTCTTTACCTCGTGGCTCTTCCAACGGATCGTTCCTCCCATCCTGTGCTTCTCTCTTGGCAGTTTGGGATTCTTGACAAACTTCGAGTTCGAGAATTACAAGCAGCATTTGAACGCGGTCATGGGGGATGTAGGGATGCGAGTGAATCTTCGCATGCGGTTCACATGCACCGTGTTCCGAAAGGACCGACGCAAGGAAGCGGAGGCTGGCGCCGTGGAAGAAGGTGAACAGTTCGAGGTTCTGAACGAACTGGTTATTGACCGTGGGCCGTCGCCTTATGTGTCCAATCTTGAGCTGTACGCAGACAATGATTTCCTAACGGTGGTTCAAGCGGATGGGTGTATTCTATCCACTCCCACTGGTATGTGACTTCCACTGGCTCGGATTTACACAAACTAATTCCATACAGGATCTACCGCCTACTCTCTTTCCGCTGGGGGATCGTTGATCCATCCGTCTATTCCGGGCATCCTCCTGACGCCGATTTGCCCCCACACACTGTCTTTCCGCCCGATGGTTCTCTCGGATTCGATGCTACTTCGCCTTGCCGTCCCCGCCGGGTCCCGCTCCACGGCGTACTGCTCCTTCGATGGCAAAGGACGTGTGGAGCTTCGCCAAGGTGACTATGTCACGGTCGAAGCGAGCCAGTACCCATTCCCCACTGTGGTATCCGGCAGCGGAGAATGGTTCCAAAGCGTCCAGCGCGCGTTGCGGTGGAACACCCGCGGGGCCATTCAAAAAAGCTTCTACCGTGGCTCGGAGGCCGGCCTGGAAGGGCTCGACGAGGACGAAGACGAAGAATGGGACATTGACACCGATGCTGGAGCCGCCGGCACGGACAGTGGCATTGGACCTAGTGAAGACGGCGACGCCGGGTCGATGAGTCCGATGAAACGGCAAATGAGCATGCTCAGCATGTAGCGGCTTCGATATTCTATTATTTTTTTGGGTACTTACATTTAGTCTTGTATTACTGTTGGATACGCGCACTAGACGTGTGCTGGAAGCATCAAGGGATTGACTGGCTCGGCGCTTGGATATTACATTTTCTTGGGGATTTGCTTGCACATTTATTTCGGCGAAAGCGATAGACTTCGATATAATCGGGACTACAGGCAGGTTAGAGCATTTCGGATACTTACAGTGATCTACATATGATAGACAGCTCTTAGATCAACGGATCTCATTCGGCGATTGGCATATTTTGCAGCGTAAGACGTAGAGTGCGCCATCCTTACCATTCATCCCTCTACATTATATTTCCACCCCGGTCGAACAACTCAACGCACCACGTCAATTAATACTTTTCATTACATCTAACACCATAACCAAATCCATCGAAATCAATATACACCTACCGACAATCTAATCCCAATCTATGCGCGACAGAACAACCCCTACCAATCACAAGCCTCCGCCAAAAGCCGAGCCAATTCCTCCAAATACTTACGATCAACCTCATCAAACCCATCAGGCTCGGTGCAGTCAACATCAATAATCGCAACCGTCTAAACCAGCGACAACCAAATTAGCACCAACCAACCAAACCACCCAAACCGATCCAACTCAACAAAAAAGCAAAGAAAAGAAAAAGGGAAACATACCTCCCCACCCACCAAAATCGGCACGACAATCTCACTCCTCGAGCTCGCATCGCAGGCAATATGGCCCGGGAAGCTCAACACATCACCCACAAGGACCGTCTCGCGCTTCTCAGCTGCCGTGCCGCACACGCCCCTCCCGAACCTAATCTCCTGACACGCCGGCCGGCCCTGGAAAGGCCCCAGCCAGAGCACCTGCTTCTGGGCGTCGGTGGGCTGGGCATTGGGGAACTTGTCTTGGCGGATGTAGAAGCCGGCCCAGTTGACGGAGGAGGAGGGGCTGGGGAGGGCTGCGTAGGCGTGCCACAGCAGGGAGGCGACGTTGGAGAAGTTGCTGGTTTTTGTTAGTGACTTGTACTAGCGTTGGGTTCAGTTTGGTGGGGTGGGGGTGGGTTTACCTGACCTGTTATATTGGGTTCGTTAGTCAATCGGTGTCATGTCGGAGTGACTGTTTGGGGAGGAGATGACTTGGATTGAACATACCCAGTTGCGCTGTCCGTATACAAGACCCTGCGCTTGCTCGAGCACTTGGGTGTAGATGTCGGATTTGGAGGCGTTGGCGCCAAAGTAGGACGAGTCGGCGTGGGGCTTGGACAGTCAGCTTTGTTTTCCTAGTCAAGGGGCCCAATTGGGGGTATGGAGATTGGGAAGTACCATTGTGTTGATCTGGGGTGTTGTTTAGCGCTGGATGAGAAAGTAAAAGAGGGTGGAATGGTTATCAGATTGCAGAATGTCGCAATGATGCAAAAGAATTGCTCGGGAGAAAAAAAAGTGGGGTCGCGGGGTTAAGATAAAGGGTCCGGAGTTAGAACGGGTTTCATACAGCTTCATTGTTTCCCTTCAGTACAGGTTCAGACGTGACGTGAGGTTCACTATGCCTCTGACTAGATGTATGACCCCGGCGTTTCTCGGTAAGCTTGCGTGTCCGGGCTGTCCGTGTAAGGCTTTGATTATCATCTCGCACGCGCTCCATTTTTAGAGTATAGGATATAGTAGAGATGGGGATCTCAGGGTGCTTTGCGTGGATTCTACGCGCCCCCCAGCCAATCGAATGCAGCTCACATAGCCGCGCTCGCATCTGAACAGTCAGATCTTTGGAGCCCTTGCGTCTAGGCATCTTGTATAGAGTTGAAAAGCTTCGATATATATATATTTAGTCTGGTTCAACTACGCGCGCGTGGGCGCCGCAGTGCCACTTGCTATGGTAAAAGTAGTAGGCGGTAAGAGGGGTGTTCTAAATTTTAATTGCCACTTACTGCACATTTTGCCGCGGCTTCATATTGTTTTTTGAAACGCGTCGTCGTTAGTACGATGTATTATATCAAGCGGAAGTAGGTGTCCCTATGTCGACACATGGACGTTATCGGCTACGTTTGGTATGTGTGACATGCACCACGCGAAGATCGGCGTTTTAGCTATAGCCAAGATATACTATTCGGAGACTAACCAGCCCTAATTATGGTTCATACGAGGCTGAAACGGATGTTTACTAGGTTTCGCACCGGTCGAAGTTAGACTGGCATGGCCTTATTAAATGCCGATCCCTTTGAGGGTCGTACTTGACCGGCGGAAGCTGCTTTACCGGAGCTCTTCACACGATTTGGTTTTGCTTTCAGGGATAGCATATATATACCGTGCTTCACTTCGCCTCGGACCTGGGGTCACGATTTGCGTCTTGTCCAATAATGATGCGTGCAACGGGAGATAGAGTATCATTTGCTCATCATGAGTACCGTCACCTGCTACAATTTCATACTCACACATTACATACTGAGTACACGCTATGTAATCCTAGTCGGAGAAAGGCAAGTACTTCGGCCTTGGGCATCCGAACCTAGACACTAGTTATCATTGACCGGCGTTTCCACCATGAGATATAGCAACGAATGAGCCACCTCGCAGCAGCCAAAGTCGTAGTCTCGGCTGCTGTATCGTATATGGGCGCAACCTCGACAACGTCGGCGCCTACCACCGGCAATCCATGTAGAGCGTCCAGGATGGAAAGAAGCTCGCGGGTAGTGAAGCCACCTGGCTCCGCAGTCCCCGTTGCTACGGTATTCAGCTATATTCACCCCAACAGAGTGTATCAGAAGACTCACCAGGGGCGTAGGCCGGATCCAACACATCAATGTCCACGGAAATGTACACCTTGCTATCACCAACTCGGGACTTGATCTGCTCTACGATACCATTTATCCCGACCCGATCCAAGTCACGCGCCTTGATGATTTCGAATCCGCATCGGATATCGTTTCGGATATCGCCCTTTCGGCGCACGGTAGGGGCACGGATGCCGACGTGTAATGATGTGTTGCGGATAAGGCCCTGGATATGGTTAGTATATTGCTTCCTTGGTGTTGGGATGGTGACTGACCTCTTCATGAGCTATGTGAAGGAAGGTCCCGTGGTTTACGCCGCTGGTAATGTCAGTTATCTGTGGACATCGACATCTGAGACTTACGCATAGTGGGATATTCCACCGCCTAGGACATAGTAAGAAATTGTGTAATGGCGATATCAGGTCGTTGGACATGGACTTACCTAGTACTTCTGGATCCCAAGTATCTGAAAGGTCAGGTCAGTAAGTGTCTATGCACTGGAAGTAAAAATATATACCGAGGTGACTGTCGAAATGAATAACCGAAACAGGACCCCACTTGTCATAGGTCGACCTCAGTGCCGACAGCGTCGTTGTGTGGTCTCCGCCCAGTGTAAGAATACGCGGTGTACGGCCCAGGCCCGTAGTATTCGTAGGACGTGATGATATAACCTGGCTGACAGGTTAAATGGCGAACGGTAAAGGAACTAGGGTATACATGCCTTATGTGCTAAATCAAGCTGTTTCAGCGCAACGGTATTATCCAACCAGGTCAGTGGCGCATCCCCGCAATCCACGATGGTCGCCCAGCTTTTGAAGACGTTGACTCCGGTGTAGATGCTCCACCCTTGCAATCGCCGAGCGCCGAGACGAATACCGCCAGGCCCGTATCTAGCGCCGGGGCGAGCGGTAACGCCCTGGAAGCATAATCAGCCCAACATTACACGATATTGTCACAGCGTGGCATGCGTTATAGGGCTGTACGTACAGTGTCGAACGGGGCACCTAAGATTGCAATATCATAAGGTGTGAACTGTGCTTGGTCATCGACCAAACAGTTTACGTAAGGTAAGTGGGCAAAGGTGGTCAGCCCCGAGAACTGACTACCCGTAACAATATCAACTCTATCATCTTTGCCGAGCGGAACTTGTCCGGAAGCTTGAATTGCTGCGATGGGAGGGAACACGATCTCCCTCGCCACGGCAGATGTGGATACAATAAATGGAAGCAGACCGTACGCATACATGGTGGAATGATACTGTGATGCAAGAAATGAAGTCTTTCTTCTGACCTGGTTGCTCTCTTATGAATGTAGAGGCCAAGCATTGCGGCTTTCCAATTTGGTTCTAGCGGTCAGTGCTCCTCACCGTATAGATAGTGATACGGGGCCCTCGGAACCCGCGCTCGCATATTAATATTCCCTTTGAATCCTGCGATGAAGTTTGGAATTTTATAGTGGTGACGGTTCCCCAAAACTCGAGTCAGGGTTCTGGTGATCAAATGACTTCAATCCGGTGAAGTACTCTATCAAATCGCATGACATCGGTAAGCCTCATCATGACGATAACATTTCGCACTGATAGGACGAAGAGATATACTTATCGATTTCATTAGGAAATGCATATTTCTAACCTCTGCCGTATGGAGTGGACCCTTTATCGGTACTCCGGAGTACCAAAATGACACCGCTCCGTTGACATTTCCTCCCCTGTGCAAACCCCCGCCAATCTGAATCTTATTGTGCACGAATATGCGCCACCATGGCTCCAAATAGGGCGCAGAGTGTTTAAATCTCTGGTCCCGCAGATGAAGCCTGATTCGCTCCCCCACAATCTCTGCTCCACCACCGTCGCGGAGACCTTCTCGATTGGGAAAGTCAGATAGGGTATCTATCTTATCGCTGTCAAGCCTTCGCCTGGCTATCGTCGAACCAACGGTTCCTCCATGGGGTTACCCTTGCCATCGGGAAAGTTCCTGGGGGACCTGAAGTATGGCTATGGGGTTTTTAAAAGGGGTGCCTGTCCCTGGTGCCCACTTCTGTACCCTCTTGTCTAAGTATTGGATTTCCAAGTCTTCTCCGAGACACAAAGAACTAGCATCATGGCGAAGGAGGACGATAATCAGAAAGTCTTTGAAGAATCAACGGGGGAAGATGCTCGTCTGGAAAATTTGGGCTATGAGCAGGGTATGTTGTTCGTTTTCGATCGTGTGCCTGTCTGCTGATGTGTGAGTAGAACTCAAGCGAACTTTTGGGTTGTTGGGGATGATTGGCTTCAGCTTCAGCGTGGTTACTTCGTCAGTGAATCAATCCATTACCAATGTACTCAATGATGATCTCGCTAACGTTGAGCAGATGGACGGCTCTGAGCGGTGTATTCATCGTCGGCGTCACATCCGGCGGCCCCCCGGTGATGGTGTTCAGTTTCATTGGCGTCAGCTTCTCACATTAGCAGTTGCCATTCCAATGGCGGAAATGTGCTCTATGTATCCTGTTGCAGGAGGCCAATACTCGTGGGTTGCGGCTTTAGCGCCTCCGAGTATCGCACGCGGTCTTTCTTACATCAGTGGCTGGTTCATGCTCATCGGTACGTCCGCTCTACCCTAACGCGGCCATCAACTTGTCCCTAAGACTAATACTCATTTACCAACTAGGCATCCTCGCCATGGGAGCAACGAATAACTCCATCGCAGCCAACTTCGTACTCGGCATGGCAAATCTTGTCTTCCCTGACTACACCATCGAGCGCTGGCATACCGTCTTGGTGGCGTATCTGGTGGCATTCATGTCAGCAGGAATCAATATATGGGGACCACACCTCCTGCACCGCATCGCCCGGTTTATCCTGATCTGGAACGTCGTCTCGTTCCTGATAACCACAATCGTGCTTTTAGCGACCAATGACAACAAGCAACCGGCATCATTTGTGTTCTCCGAGTTCCAGAATTTCTCAGGCTGGGGATCATCAATGGCAGCCATCGTAGGTATTTTGCAAGCTTGCTTCGGGATGTGCTGCTACGACGCCCCATCACACATGACCGAAGAAATGAAGTCGGCTTCCAAGGAAGCTCCCAAGGCCATCATCCTCTCTGTGGTCCTGGGTGCCGTGACCGGATTTGCCTTCCTCCTGACGCTCTGCTTCTGCATCGGTGATATCGCCAACACTGCCAACACAAGCACTGGCGTCCCTGTCATCCAGATCATCTACGACTCCACGGGAAGCAAAGTCGGCACATGCTTCTTGGCGAGCATGATCGCCATCATCGTCATAGTCGCCGGAAACAACATTCTAGCGGAGGGGTCTCGTTCCGTGTACGCCTTCGCCCGCGACCACGGCCTCCCGTTCTCACACGTCTTCTCCAAGGTCGACAGCAAGCGACATGTGCCGGTCAACGCCGTGATCCTTACTCTCGTCGTGCAGCTTGCTCTGGATGCGATTGACTTTGGTACAACTACTGGGTTCCAAACCGTCATTGCTATCTCCACTGAGGGGTTCTGTAAGTCCTACCACCTTCCCGTCTCTTTATTGCTTATGCTCTGCTAACTATATAAGACCTCTCTTACGCCACGGCCCTAGGCAGCCGTCTCCTTGGCTACTTCACCGGTCATAAGAAAGAAATGAAAGGCCCCTTTGCCCTGCCCCAATCCATGTCTATTGGCCTTAACATTCTGGGTCTTCTATTCCTGCTCTTCGCAGCTATCACGTTTAACTTCCCGACCAATTACCCCGTTACCCATGAATCCATGAACTATACCTCTGCAGCCATTGGAGTCATTGCATTGATTAGTACTGTGACATGGATGACAACGGGCAGGAAGCATTTCACTGGGCCGCAAGCCATGAGTGTGCTGAATGCACATGAGAGTGACGAGAGGGTTGGTGATGATATGGTTAAGAAAGGATAGATTCTACATTCTGTACAGTAAGGCAATGTCCATGCTCTATCATACTTTGCTTTGCCTTTTTGTGCCCTTCGTCTGGCATGATAGATTGCTCTAGAGAGGTTTAGAATTAGAATATTTACTTGGCTTACAGCTGGCGGGATGTGTCC